TCGCATACCTCTGGCTTTGCATCTGTATTCACATGTTTCTCGCATCTTGTACCTCGGAAATATAATTCCCCTCCCAAAAATTCTTTACCCAAACAAGCATTCAATGTTACTTCTGAATCATCCACATGAAAGCCTGCAGATTTAAGAGATAAGTACTGATACTAAACCGTATGTTCACTCTAGCTTTCTCTAAGGAATGATGTTCAGACAACCCAAGCAGCTTTAGTATCATAGAAAATATGTTTGCATTTCAGATGATCGTAAGGTCCTGTGAGAATTTTCCAGAATTGTTGTTTCAAAGGATAAGCAGAAATTCAAGAGAACTCACCTAAGTCAATGTCCCTATCTTCACCATATTCAACAACAAATCCATGGTGAGAGTCTAAAGTTTGTCCACACACATCAAGGAAGAACACTACAAAACAACAAATTGTAGGTAGTTTCATGTTAATGTACTTTTACCGTAACAAATCTCTCTAATGCATTGAAGTCATATATTGACTTGCCTTTGGAAAGAGGAAGGATAAAGCCCTCTATGAGTTGGTCAAGCATACTATCCAAACCAAAATCGTCAAGCACAGCACCGTAATTAGTCATGGTGTTTGGTCTTATAATCCGTAACTTTGTCTCGTTAACCCACTTACCGAAATTCTCTACCTGATTAATCAAACAGCAACACATGAACAAAGCATGAACGTAAAAGCGCACAGAATAAATAAAAGAAGATGGGTTATCATTTACCTCTGATAACATCATCTCACAGAAATCGGGCTGAAGCATTTTAAAGACATAAACACCAGGAAACGGTTCTGATATAATGCTTCTGAAACTTTCCTCCGTGTTTTCGTCAATCGCCTTCAGGAACGAAGGAAGGAAAAAGAACGTTGGATCAAGAGTATACAACTCCTTGTTAAGTCTCTGCAGAATTGAAACATTTCAAACTTTCTCACTACGAAGTCTACGAAAAATCGAAATCAAACAGCAAAAAAAAGGATTAAACTTTCTCACCTGGTAATTGGATATTATGTTCTGCTTATATTCCTTGTGCCTTCTAACCTAAAGCATTAGAAGAAAACTTTGGGATTAATTAACACTGAAAATCACAATCTAACTGATTCAACTTCATATGCAATTCCCAATTCACAGATTAAAAAACAAAGAAACTGAGAAATCGAAAGAGCAATATTACTCTTGAACGCTCTCCACGAGGAAGATACTTGAGAAGAATACTCGACATGAATTTCACTTTCTCGTCTCTATTCGAGCTAAGCATATTCAAAGGCAAGTACTTCTCCAGCGAACTGAATAAACAGGGGCTAAATTCCAGTTCCAGATCTTCGTAACTCTCCGGTTTATGCTCGTTGTTAGGTATTCGCCTCAGGCTTTGAGATACTGTCTCCGCCGGAGTAAAATCCGGTAACGGAGTATCTCCACCTCCGACAGATCCGTCGCCGTCCACCGTCATCTCTTCACGCCGATCAATAGACATTGTTGTGATCAAACTAAGTCTCTGCACATTGCATTTCGATGAATACAACAAATCAAGAATCACGGCGAGGAATCGAAATCGGAATTCTGATTTTGGATATTTCCCGTTGAAATTAGGGTTTCCACTAGACAAAGACGAAACTGCTGCTCGAGGACGCGATTTATCAGCCCATTAAAACGGCCCATTATTGGTATTACAATTTAATTAAATGACTCGTATATATTGTACAAAATATTGGCAATATTGAATGAATCTAAAATTGAATGACTCGATATGTATTGTTGTCAACGATATTCCATGGCTTTTTTTGTAACAAAATCTAATTTAAACTGATTTACTTGGATTTTGTACTGAATTTTTTTCGTTGGTTATAAATGTAGGGATCTCGTTTTCATTATTACAATTCATTTCACCTAGGAAATAACGAAAGAGAGAGAGAACTTGTACACGATTCTTTCTTCTTCTTCTTATTGACCATTACTTGTTGTTTTTAACTTTTCACAATATCTATCATCCTCTATATACTCGGAAAAAAAAAATCTATCATCCTCATAAAATGTTGCTCGCACATTTGAATCTTATTCGGAAGATTGTGGGGGTAATAGGTTAGTCATGATTTTATTCACATATTTTTTTTGGGTTTTTTTGATGAATAACCAAAAAAAAAAAATTAAAAAGTTAGAAAAAACGGGGTATGTGGCAAATTTTCCTTTTTTTTTAAATTCCTTATTTTTTTTTATTTTAAAATTTTGTGTTCTTACTTCGAATGATCGATCATGTTTGCAGGAAACGTCATCGCTATATGTCTATTCTTGTCACCAACGTAAGTTTTCGTTATACAATTTACTGGATCACTGAATCATACATACATCAAAGGGTGATTTCATATAATTAAAAAAAAAAAAAAATTCAAACAAAGTTGTTTCATAAAATTTAAGTCATGCATGGTTCTTCTTGAACGATCTGAAATCGATTTTAAAGTTTTTACCTTTTTGTTTTGATTAAACCACAATATTAAAGTTCATACTTTTCTCATTTTTAGTATTATATGATAAACCTAAATTCCGTGTTATATTAATCTCTTACGTAACAATTAAGATCTAAAATTTTATTGTATATACGATTACTGATATCACAATTCATCAGGCCAACGTTTGTAGAGATAGTGAAAAAGAAGTCAGTGGAAAAATATTCACCATTACCATATTTGGCGACTCTGATAAATTGTTTGGTTCGGGGTTTCTACGGATTTCCTATGGTGCATCCTGACAGTACATTGGTCATGACATTGAGTGGTGTAGGAGTCCTGATCGAAATCGTTTTCCTTACCATCTTTTTTGTTTTCTGTGGCCGCAAAAAACAGCGGTTGGTAATATCCGTCGTTTTAGCGGCTGAATTTGCGTTTGTGGCTATCCTAGCTGTTTTGGTCTTAACTCTCCAACACTCTACCGATCAACGAACAGTGAGCGTTGGGATTGCATGTTGTGTTTTCAACACAATGTTCTATGTTGCTCCAATGTTTGTTATGGTACGTTTTATTTTTAAAAGTTAATAATTTGTTATACTATTTGATTTGATAACTAATAGGCAATGGAGTAATTAGGTTGCTTAAATAGGCAGTCTTGAATGTTGAACGGTGCGTTTACGACGTTTTGACTAAATTATTGTATTTTTTTTCTTTTTACTTGAATTAATCGTTTTTTTTTTGTTTTGCAAAATAAATACATGGGAATAAAAATGAAGAAAATGGCAATAAAGACAAAAAGCGTGGAGTTCATGCCGTTTTGGCTATCGGTAGCTTGTTTCTTAAACGCAGGTGTTTGGACACTTTATGGTTTCTTACCTTTCGACCCATTCATGGCTGTAAGATTTTTCTGCCCTTTTTCATCAAAATTTTATTCCCCTTTAAAAATTTGTTTAATGGTAATATGAAAAAGGAAACAAATGAAATTAATATATTGTCGGTTTTTCAGATACCAAATGGGATTGGATGCGTATGTGGACTTACTCAATTGATATTGTATGCTACCTACTATAAATCTACCAAAAGGATAATGGCTGAGAGGCAGAAGCCACCCGGCCAAGTCAGTGAAATGCGGTTATCAAACGCTGAATCTGAGCATATCGCGAATTTCAACATACCGGTTAATAGCGTTTGATTTGGTATGCTCATGTTATTCACCGTCCAATTATCAGACGTTTTAATTTAGAACTTTTCATAGGGCTTTGATATGCGAATAATTGATAATTAAGTCGGTTTTTGTTTAAGATAAGAAAATGTGACTGGCTTTTGAGTTTGGGTTTTGTTTTGATGATGTTTACACTAAGGAATAAAAGCATTTTCTGCTGTTACATCACTTTCGATGCTAAAGATC